GTACTTAGACTTTAAAATATCAATTAAGTTTTACCTCCCCCTTATTTCCCTAAATTTAACTGAATTAATAGTTAATTCAGTTTGGAGTCAGGGTCTTAGATCACTTTTCTTTTTGCTTCATGTTTGTTTTTGTTTTGTTTTGTTTTTGATGGGGAGAAAGAAAGTGTTCATAAGCTTATTTTAATATTTTTTAAAATTTATTCATGATAGACATAAAGAGAGAGAGAGAGGCAGAGACACAGGCAGAGGGAGAAACAGGCTCCATGCAGGGAGCCCTATGCGGGACTCGATCCCGGGACTTGAGGATCACGCCCTGGGCCAAAGGCAGGCACTAAACCACTGAGCCACCCAGGGACCCCCTGAATTTTATTTTAAACAGTGGCTTTTTATAGGCAGAAAACTTATCTCTTCAATTCAAGCCCAGTTTATATGATTTATATGATGTTTATATGATTCCTGGTTTAAGTGCACCCTCTCCTATCATTGTAGCAAAGTAGAATTTCTTTAATGGATATTTTTCTACTTTGGTATCCATTCTGTCCTATAAACTGGAGTGATTTTTGTTTTTGGTATAATGAGCATATAATATCCTCACTCAGCATACTGCTTGCTACCATTTACAAAGTCCCCAACAGTTCCTTTGTGACTGGAAATTTGGACCATGGTAGGTCATTTGCTCATATCTTAATAGATTTTAGGTACAAATTTAAAAGTACTGCCACTTTTCCTTGAAATTACAGGACTTTCCCTTTGTATTCATTAATTTATACTTCATTCAGTTATTATTCAACGTCAAGTATATATTAGATACTATTCATGAAAATGTGTGGAAAACATGACTCTTATTTTCTGTGACAATAGTCTTTAAAATTGTGCCCACACATTCTGTCTTTAATATTTAGAGATTCCAATTTCCATTTTCCAATTTTCCATTTTCAATTATCCTTAAACTGATATTTTTATTCCATTTTCTAGCAAATATTTATCCTAACTTAATATATTTTATATTCACGTCCTTTAAATATGTTTTCAATCTTTTTTTGCAACAAAGATATGAAGATAGTTTATTTTTTAAAAATTTTCAGTGGCCATAGTTGTTCAAGTCTTATTCTTACAAATAAAACTAGTAAAAACTGGACAAAATAAATTTTGATAGTCATAAAGAACAGTTTTAATCGGAAATATATTTCTTCACAGCATAGGACAGGTTTTCAATTGGTAGTTTAGTGAAACCAATACTTGTTAAATAACAGAATGAGGGAAGCAATAGAGGAGCCCAGAAGGAGGAATAAGGCATTCTCTCTGGTTGCTCTGGGAAAGGCTTCTCAGAGAAATTGCCATTTATATTGGACCTAAAGGATTAAAAGGCATCTTTTGGCAAATAAGGTAGAAACATAAAATTTTAAGTAGAGGGAACCGTGTATACAAATCTTAGAGAAAGAGAAGAATATGGCCTGTCTAGGCAACAGGTATTTTTGCACATGGTAAATCTGTAATGAATATGAGATATCCAAATGAAATCTGCTGTCTTATTGGCAAGTGAATTTAAGAATGTAGCATCTAGTGGGATAGGATAGCTGTTGATAAATTGTATTCAAAGTCTATAAATTAACCCAAGCTTTAATATTTTTCTGCCTATCTTCACTATGTGAGCTCATATATACATATATGAAGTATATGATAAATTCATATATATGTATATGTATGATAATATATATATGTATATATATTATATACAAATATATGTGCATTAATTTGATATTGTTTTCTATTTCTTTCTTTTAGCCTTGATGACTTGATTTTTTTCCCTTGTAACCTCTTTCCTCCCTTTTGGAATTTATATTTCATAGCTCAGTCTATTTTTCAAGCAAACATATTGATATACCAAAATAATATAATAACCAAGCCTTCTTAGGTGAAGAATAATTTCCCTCCTTTGGCTCATGGTTCACATCTTTGGTCCTCAGACATACCACCCTGTTGGTGGTCCTGAAGTAATGGAAAACCATGGTTTGCCTAGTAGTGTCTACTGTTGTGGATAATGATAAGCTTCCAGCAACTCACATGATCTTTTTTAAAAGTCTCTCTTGGGGATCCTTGGGTGGCTCAGTGGTTTAGTGCCTGCCTTTGGCCCAGGGCGTGATCCTGGAGTCCCGGGATCAAGTCCCACATTGGGTTCCCTGCATGGAGCCTGCTTCTCCCTCTGCCCGTGTCTCAGCTTCTCTCTTTCTCTGTGTCTCTCATGAACAAATAAATAAAATCTTTTAAAAAATAAAAATAAAAGTCTCTCTTGTCTATGATGATAGAGAAAAACTGAATGTCCTTTCTTAAGGTACCTTAGGTCCTAAGAGAAAATCCAAAGGCTCTGGTTATGTCCTCCTTTTTGATACCATGAAGTTCTTATATTCACAATGCCAAGGTGAGAGAAGGGCTTTGTTTTTCTGTCATTACTTCTTTGGGTGACAAAGACCACAAATTCTCACACTTGAGAATGACAGCAGTTTGACATAAAGCCAGTATCCTTCCATAATGCTTTATATGTACTCTAAACCTTTGCATTCTGAAGCCACCCTCGTTTAAATCAAAAAGAATACCAGTGTGTGACAAATGACCTGGATACAAAATTTAATTGGAAATGAATTTGAAACTAAATGCAACTAGAAATAAATTACATGTTATCTTGCATTTCAGTAAGATGTGTTATGCTTAAAGAATTGTGCGACAAGTCAAAGGATGTTGCAAGATTATTTGTGAAAGCAAATATTTAATAAAGAAACTAAACCATTAATAGGATTAATGAGGTTATTTAAATGATGACTAACTCTACATTAAATATTGTAGACTACACAGCATAAAAAAGGATGATATAATAGTTCTGATGGCTAGTTTTCCTGTAGTATCTTTTGTATGTCAAACATGGTACCGAGTGTCTCACATATACTAACCCCTTTAAGTCTCAAAATTACCTATGACATAGGTGCTATTATCTTCTTCAGTTTGCCAAATAAGAAGCTGAAATAATTAGATAAAGATATTTACTCAAAGCTACACAGCCAGTGCGTGATGGATCTAGAACCAAACGTACTGACATGGAAGAACAGAACAATATTTTATGAAGAGAAAAAAAAACATAAGGTACAAAGTGAATGTGTAAAGTATAATTTACATTTCTGTAAGAAACAAATGTGTGCTTGTTGCAAACCTGTGTTAGTAAAAGGAAAACCATACTGAAGTAGATAGAAACCATAATTCTACACAGTGGGATTTAGATGTTGGGGTTTCTACTTTTTGCGTGATATACTACTGTATGCCTTCTAAAAGTTTATTATAATATACATGCGTTTATTTTTGCAGTTCATGGTTTTAAAGTAATTAGAATTTGAATAAAGAAACTATCATATTATAATATGGAAAAAAACCTCAAGTCATTCTTCACACCAATGTGGAAAAGAAACATTACAAACCTTTGTTTATACTGATAGTGATTAGGTATTTAAGTATTTGAAAAATACTATTTACCATCAAAAATACTTTTAAAATTTCTTTCTACATTTTGCTGCAGTGATTTCCTTCCTCCAGTCCCTTTGCCTCTTAATCCTCTCATTGCATTTTTCCTCCATGTTAGTTTTCTCATGTGAGAGAAACACATTTCAGACGTCACCATCTGGATATCCATTTTTAAAGTTTATTTAAGTACCAGAGGATGTTGCCAAGAACGCAAAACTCTTCTTGCTTAGATGAGACTAGCTACAGTCCGAGAGAGCTCTTTTGTCTGGCATGGTTAGAGAAGACAAAAACACAAACCTCCTTACTGTAAACAGTTGACACTAAACAACAGAATCTACTCAGCTGACATTCGATAGACCTTATTTATGGCATCATTCTCCATTATTTTAGGAGATTTTTAGAAATTAATACTGTGTATCCTGTCTTTCCATCAACCTACAGTTTGTGACAAATTAATTTCCATGGAAACTGATACAGGGAATGTATAATTTTGTTGAGATGTTGTGAAATAAATTATGTAATGAAATAGACAAAACATGTAGAGACACCCATTAATAATTCGCTTTCAACAATGTTAAAGCAGTGTCTAAACATATTTCATCATAAAATTTTTTTTGTTGTGTTAATTGGTAGCACGTTTTGCTTTTTTAAGGGGTAAACAACTTTTCGTAAAACACGAGTGTTGACTCAGAAGGATATAAGAATTTAAACAACTATCAATCAGTGTTTCCCAGACACTTCTATCTGTCTGTATTTTGTTATGACTTGAGAATCAACGTACAATCCATTCTCTAATACGCAAAGCAATATATCCATTGGTCTGCTAGATTAAAAAGTCATAAACATAAACATAATGGAATATGCATCATTTCCTTTGGAATTTATGAAACTGTTTTGCACAATTCCCTAAAGGGTGAGGGAAAAAAATCAAGCAATCTTTGATATGCAATATAAATAACTCCCCAAAGAAATCACAATGACTGTTTTTGTTTATTTTTGCTTTAAGTATGCAAATGTATTCCTTATCTGTACCTTAACTTTGGCTACTCATAAACATCCATTGCACAAACTAGAAAAAGGCCTTATTTATGAATTAATTTTATCCTTTGTTGTTAGAAAAGAGAAATATGAAATGGGAAATAAAAGGGAGTAAGGAAATAGAGATACTAAGTTCATGTGAACTAGGATAATGTCCATGTAAAAAGTCTTTTTACAATTTGATATAAATATTAAAAATAAGAATTAGTATTAGAACTATACCCTATATACCATGTTAAGATATAAAATCATGTTAAATAATTGCATTTTTTCCCTAAAATATACTCACATCTTCCTTTCTCTTCTTCAGACAGAGAAATGGAAATAATGTCACTATCCTCTATTTTTGCCTTATTAACCTTGTGTTCATTGGTGTTATATTATGTTGGATTCAAGAAATAGAAAAAGAATTTATTTTTCTTTTTTCAAAAGAAAAAATAGACAATGCTCCTTACCGACACACAGGACTGTTCTTCTCCATTACACAATTCCCACCATTTCTGCAGTAACCTAATGGGCACTCTAAAAAGAAGCATCACAAAACCCACAGATTGTAAATATTATTAGGAAGGAGGAGGACATATTACTGTTAATCACTGCATTAAATCTAGCCACTGAGAATATATTACTTCCCAGTTGCTAAAAGTGCAAGAATTCCCCTGTGCTCCACAAATTTGTTCATTGGCCCTTGCTGCATTCATCCTCTTCACATGCCTGAGTGGTGAACCACAAGAGGATACTTTTTCTCTTCCCCTGGATTAAGTAAAATATACTTATTTAGATCATGTCTACATGACAAATTTGTGATTATACTGAAATTTGTTCTTTAATGCAACATGTATTGTCTTCAGTTCCACACAGTAGTCACTAACATGGCAGACAATGCTTTGCATGGAGGACCTTGGCTTTTTGGCAAAATGTCACTTGTGCATGTGCATATCCTACATCCTACCTTTGCATCCATGACAGACATCAGCATAGCTCAAATTGACCTTCATTGCCCTGGCCCTGCTCTTTTGCTGCTTGTATCATTCCCTCTTTCAAGGCTAGCATTAATGTTTACTTTCAAAGGTAATTTGCGTATAGATTAAAACGAAGCTAGATAGGGGCACCTGGGTGGCTTGGTGGTTGAGGATCTGTCTTTGGCTCAAGTCGTGATCCTGGGGTCTTGGGGTCCTGGGATTGAGTCCCAATCAGGTTCCCTGCATGGAGCCTGCTTCTCACTCTGCCTATGTCTCTGCCTCTCTCTCTCTGTCTCTCATGAATAAATAAAATTAAAAAAAAAAAAAAGAAACTAAATATTGTCACATAGGTATGACCCTGGAAATGGTTGGTGCCTTTAGCCCTTCAGGGTTCTTTAAGGTCTTGATCTTCACATTCATCCTGATCTGAGAAACCTGTTGGTTTCTCTACTCAATACCCAAATTGCTTTTCTTCGCTTTTTTTTTTTTTTTGACACCTCCTCTCTTGCAGGATACCATTCTTCCCTGGTTGGGCTGTCTTAACTCTAATACTTGATAGAAACCTCCACTTCCTCTAACTTGTAATTCAACACATCTATTCTGAGCATCTGTTAATGTCTGGCACTAGGCTAGGCACTAGATATGTAACAGTAAATAATCCAGGAAGTTTACAAAGTTGTTAAAGCTGCAGGCACCAGAGCCAGACTGCCTGAGTAAGAATCTCAACTCAACTTATTAGCTGTATAATATAGGATAAGCTAATTAATCTCTCTGTGCCTCTGGTTCCTCTCTGTCAAACAGAGTTAAAAATAGTACCTATCCCAGAGTTGTTGAGAATGTTAGAAAACACCCAGCTCATAGCACATGGTTAAGAAATGTTGACCTAAAAAAGATACAGTTGTGATCTTTGCTCTTGTTGACCTTCCAGCTTCATGGAAAATACAAACAAACAAAAAATGACTGGGGCATTAAAATACACTATTAAAAGTAATATAATTTGGAATGGATATAACAAACGTGGTGGGAGTACCATGGAGAGCACCTAAATCAAATTTGGGGAATAAAGAAAAGCTTTCCAGAAGATAATCAGGCATTCATTTGGGCAGGTGTGTGTGTGTGTGTGTGTGTGTGTGTGTGTGTGTGTGTGTGTGTGTGTAAAGATAAGAATAAAGACTCAGGCTCAAGAAGAGAGTGGTGTGTTTGAGGACCTGAAGGAAGTTCAGCCTGGACTGATAACATGAAGAAAGTATGGGAGAAGGTAAGAGCCACACAGGGGCCAGATCATATAGGCTGAATGAGGAGTTTAAACTTTAACTTAGGAGGCCAGAATTTTAAGAAAGGAGGTAGATGTTTCTTTTTCTTTCTTTCTTTCTTCTTTCTTTCTTTCTTTCTTTCTTTCTTTCTTTCTTTCTTCTTCTTTCTTTCTTTCTTTCTTTCTTTCTTTCTTTCTTTCTTTCTTTCTTTCTTAGATATTATTTATTTATTCATGACAGACAGACAGAGAGAGAGAGAGAGAGAGAGGGCAGAGACACAGGCAGAGGGAGAAGCAGACTCCACGCAGGGAGCCAAAGTGATATGGTTATCATGTCTGTGATATAAAGAATATAAAGAATAAAATTTCAGTGGTTTCTTTTTGCTAGAATCAGAGATAACACCTGCATTTATAAATGTTAAAGTACTTGGTGGTATTCTAAGTAAGTATGACATCTTTAACACTAGGACAGAGCTACTGAAAGCCACAACCTCCTTTTTAAATCTAATTTTGATGTGTGTTGTATTACTAATCTATTCAGTTTTATGGTTTTTAGAACCCATCTTTGCAAAAATAAAATGCCCTATGGATATTAAATAATTATAAATTTAGTATCCTCCATGGTTCTGAAGAGTACATTATACTCTGAAATAAATAGAAAAAAAAAAAAACAACAACAACAACACGACACGGGACTCGATCCCGGGTCTCCAGGATCTTGCTAAAAAAACAAAAACAAAAACAAAAACAAAAACAAAACACGACATGGGACTCGATCCCGGGTCTCCAGGATCACACACTGGGCTGAAGGCGGCGCCAAATGGCTGGGCCAACGGGGCTGCCCAATGTTGTAGCTGCCTTTTTTCTTTTTTTAAGATTTTAATTTATTTATTAATGAGAGATAGAGAGAGAGAGAAGGAGAGGGAGAGAGAGAGAGAGAGAGAGAGAGAGAGAGAGAGAGGCAGAGACACAGGCAGAGAGAGAAGCAGGCTCCATGCAGGGAGCCGGACGTGGGACTCGATCCCAGGACTCCAGGATCACGCCCTGGGCTGAAGGCGGCGCTAAACTGCTGAGCCACCCGGGCTGCCCTGTTCCCTGTTTTAAAAAGACAATTCTGGATCCAGTATGTAAGATCAACAGAAGGGCTAAGACTAAAATTCAGGAGCCCCGTTAAAGGCTTGTTGTAATAATCTAGTAAAAATGATGAAATGAATGAAAGGGATGTAGTGAGAGGTGAGAACTGTGGGGATCTGTGAGATATTTAAATGTTGGGATTGAAATATACAGTGATAATTTGCAAGAGTCAAGGGTGGTGTTCAAGTTCCTGGCTGAGCCACAGGGTACTTGGTGGTTTCATTCACTGAATTGGGGGATTTGTGGGGAAGGAAGAATTTATAGGGGAAAATGCTGGCGTTTTAGGTACCTAAGGTGATAATGCAAGGAAGTATTCCTTGGCCAATATTATTTGCAGGTCTGAAGCCCAGATAAAATATAGGCTAGGGCATGAATTTGAAGCTTTGGCTTTCTCCTTCTGCCTTTCAGATATCATCACTTTTCAGGCTTGCCCCTCAGAAATCACTTGATCACTTTTTAGGTGTCATGGGGTTACAAAGATACAGTCTTTGTCTTTACAGGAGCAGACTAACCTTAGCAGAGAGAGAAACAATTTACTTGGGCAGAGAAAAGATAATGATAATGAACATTAATAGAAAAGTAATAAGGACAAACAGAAATTTTATATAGGAAAATATCCATTGGAAGAAGACTTTGAAGGGCAACTAGAGAGTCTGATTGTGGAGCTAGTCATTGAACATTGGGAAGGGAGTGGAAAGAGTTTAGAGGGAGGTTGCAGCAACAGGGAGGTGCAATATACCACAGTGTCCTTTTTGTTTTCAAAGGTTTCCAATGATTTGCCCTTCCAGAGATATCCAGTTGGCCCCTGAACAATGTGGAGCTTGGGGCACTGATCCTCGCACAGTTAAAAATCCACAGATGACTTTTAACTCCCTCAGAACTTAACTACTAATAGCCTACTGTTGACTGATACCATAAATAGTCAGTAAACATATATTTTGTGTGGTATTTCTATGATACACTGTATTACTACAATAAGGTAAGCTAGAGAGAAGATTAGGACAATCGTAAAGAAGAGAAGTTGCACTTACAGTACTATACTGAAAAGACTCTGCATGTCAGTGGGCCCGCACAGTTCAAACCCATGCTGCTGAAGGGTCAGATGTAGTTCCCATCTTGCCTTCCCTACTTTTCCCTGTTTAATTATGACAGGGGAGCATGGTGCTAATGACGGAAGAACAGCTATACCCTGCAGGCTTCTGGGCCATGCTCTGCTAAACAGAACAGATGTGAAATTTCCTTCATAAACAAGAAATTAGCTGTTTTGACTAAAAATAGCCCACCAGTATGGTAAAGCATAAATAGCTACAAACCTTTCAGATAAACCATTTTATAGTCATGTTTGGTCTTAAGTACAATTTTAGTCTTCCTTATGGAAGGCTTTGTTTTTATAAGAAAAACCAGTAGAGTGTCTGATACTGCACTACATCAAAATACATACAGCTGCACATTTTTTTCCTGGGGTCGTTAATATTTACTTTGATGGCTGAGAGTAAATCATAGGCTTGCTTTACATCAAAATAATTCTGTGGAAATTTAAATATGCATTTTATTACACTGTATAATGGAGCACAGTGGAAAGGACACAAGCATTGGCCAGAGCAAGGAGTAAAATTTGGTGTTTTGGTGGGGAGATGATTTGTAGTTTACCTCCACAAGGCATTCTTTTCAGTTTCTGCTTAGACCCAGGTTCTTTATCCATCCATAAGATGCAAAAACATAGTATAACATATTTTCACCTTACTCAAAACAGTTTAAAGCAGGAAACAGATGAAATGGGGAGGGAGATATCCATGACTAGTTAGCAATGAAGGGATTAAATACTTCCAGGAAATAAGTAGATAATTCTCAAATGGGAAGTTGGATTCTATGGGGTTGATATTAGAATTAGCCTGAGTTCCCAGACTCTTCAGCCACATCAGTGTCTCACTGATGTTTTGCATTGGTTACTGCGACCATGTATCTGGAGGCCAGTAGGACTTAACTGACTACATAGAAATAGCATTCTAGGAAGAGTTCAAGTTCAGTTCCACTCTGGTGTATCACCCTAGAAAAACAGGAACACATATAAACCAGATGCCTCTGTGTGTGTGTGTGTGTGTGTGTGTGTGTGTGTTGTGTTGTGTGGTCTCTTTCAATGTACATGGAGGCTTGGGAAGTGATAGCTATTGCAT